TTTTGTTCCGTTTCGTGGCATTAAGCAGATGGAGAGGTGCAGCGCTGATTGCGCCCTCAAAGGCGTGAGATCAACGCGGCGATACGGGTGGAAATGTGCTGCCAGACAGGTGCTTTCATTCAAATATCACTTATGCACCCCCCTCCTCTGGCTTGGCCATTTTCCCCTCCTAAAGTTTTAAACAATGCAGAGTTTGGTGGTTTGGCCAGTTAGCTCCAAATACTTGGCAAAAATACCAGCTGTACCTGGTTTCTACGGGAAAATCCTCTCCTTCTGCTCTAAAGAAAAATCTTGATTTCATTTAAAATGTTACATTTAGATTTTAATTTAATTGTACATTTTAGTTTACTTTTAATTTTAAACTTTAATTTAATTACAATTTGAGATTTTAATTTAATTTAAATTTTTTTCTTTGAAATTTAGCATTTTTTTTTAGCTTTATTTTAATTTTAAATTTTAACTTAATTTTACAATTTTATTTCCTTCACTATAATTTTACTTCACTGTATTTTGTAATTTAAGTTAATACTTTTTATTGAAATTTAGCATTTTTACTTTTTTTTTTTTTTTTTTTAATTTTATTTTTTAATTTGTTTATGTTTTTATTTTTACTTCCTTTGCTACACTTTACTTTATTTTTTAAACTTAATTTACTTTAATTTTTTTCATTGAAATTTAGCATTTATATTTTTAGTTTTAATTTAAGTTTACATTTTTATTTTTACTTTCTTCGCTATACTTTACTTTACTGTATTTTTAAATTTCATTTCATTTCATTTTTTCATTTAAATTTTGCATTTTTGTTTTTATTTTAGTTTTATATTTTAATTTAAGTTTATGTTTTTTATATTTACTTCTTTAGCTATACTTTACTTTATTTCTTTTTATTTAATTTACTTTATTTTTTTATTGAAATTTAGCATGTTTATTTTTAGTTTTGTTATTTTAATTTTACATTTTAATTTAAGTTTACATTTTTATTTTTACTTCCTTCACAATACTTTACTTTATTTTTTTAATTTAATTTACTTTATTTTTTTCATTGAAGTTTAGCATTTTAGTTTTAGTTTTGTTATTTTAATTTTATATTTAATTTAGGTTTATGTTTTATTTTTACTTCCTTTGCTACACCTTACTTTATTTTTTAAATTTAATTAAATTTAATTTTTTCATTGAAATTTAGCATTTTTATTTTTAGATTTGTTATTTCAATTTTACATTTTAATTTAAGTTTACATTTTTATTTTTACTTCCTTTGCTATACTTTACTCTACTGTATTTTTAAATTTCATTTCATTTCATTTTTTCATTGAAATGTAGCATTTTTTGTTTTTATTGTAATTTTACATTTTAATTTAAGTTTATGTTTTTATTTTTACTTCCTTCGCTATACTTAACTTTATTTTTTTATTGAAATTTAGCATGTTTATTTTTAGTTTTGTTATTTTAATTTTACATTTTAATTTAAGTTTACATTTTTATTTTTACTTCCTTCGCTATACTTTACGGTATTTTTTAATTTATTTACATTTTTTTTTCATTGAAATTTTGCATTTTTATTTTTAGTTTTGTTATTTTAATTTTACATTTTAATTTAAGTGTATGTTTATATTTTTACTTCCTTTGCTATACTTTACAGTATTTTTAAATTTAATTAAATTAAATTTTTTTATTGAAATATAGCATTTTTATTTTTTTATTTTAATTTTACATTTTAATTTAAGTTTACACTTTTATTGTTACTTCCTTTGCTATACTTTTACTATATTTTTTAAAATTAATAATTTAAATTTTACCTTTTAATTTAATTTTATATTTGAATTTAAATTAATTTTTATGTTGAATTTCTATTTTTTACTTTTTACATTTAAATTTTGCATTTTTATTTTTACTTTTTTTAATTTTGATTTTACCTTTTTATTTAATTTCATATTTTAATTGAAATTCATTTTAATTTTGAATTCTTATTTTTTACATTTTTACATTTTATTTTAACTTTTTCGTTTTTAAAGTTTTTTATTTAGATTTTACAATGTAATTTAATTTCATTTTTTAATTTAAACTAATTTTAATTTTGAAATTTTTTTTACATTTAACTTTAGCATTTTTATTTTTAAATTTTTTATTTAGATTTTACATTTTAATTTAAGTTCATATTTTAATTTAAATTAATTTCAATTTTGAATTTTTATTTTTTACATATTTACATTTTGCATTTTTATTTTTGCATTGTTTATTTAGATTTTACATTTTAATGTAATTACATATTTTAATTTAAATTCATTTTAATTTTTGAATTTTTACTTTTAAAATTTTTATTTAAATTTAGCATTTTTATTTTTGCATTGTTTATTTAGATTTTACATTTTAATTTAATTTCATATTTTAATTTAAATTAAATAAAATTTATATTAACTTCTTTATTAGTACATTTTTATTTCAATTTCATTTTATAGTTGAATTTACATGATTCTTATTTTAAATTTTCATATTTTTTTCGATTAAATGCTACATTTTAATTTATCTTAACTTCTTCCTTTGTACATTTTTTTTTTAGTTTGTCATTTACATTTTAATATCATTTCATATTTTTGTTTTAAAGTATTTTTTTTATGAATTTTTATTTTTATACTTTTCATTTAAAGTTTGCATTCAAATTTAATTTTACGTTTTTAAACTTAGCAAAAAAAAAAAAAAACCCCAATAAGCTATACCTCCTTTTTAAGGGAAAATCTTTTATTTATGCTGCAAAGAGATCCTTTTTTTTCATTTTTAGTTTGAAGGTGATTTGTTTTTATGCAAACATGACAATCAGAGGGTATCAGTGTTTTATAAAGTTTCTATTTGGTTATAAACATTCTCTGGGATTTTCTCCAGCAGTGATTGGCCAAATCACGTCAACAGATAGGAGAGATGTATTAATAATCCCAATTTTGGAAGTGTCGGCTCCAGATAGAATATGTAGTCGCTGCATTCTCAGTCACTAATGACATCATTGTATGTATATATATATATATATATATATATATAATTTATTCATTATTATTTTATTATATTTATTTAGATTTATATATTATTTATTTAATTTATTTATATATATATATATATATATATATATATATATATATATAAATATATATTTTGAAATATATTGAATACGGCCAAAATTGTAGCATTTATGTACAGCGCTGAGCGAACTATTGGCGCTTTATAAATACTGTATAATAATATAATAATAATAATGTCAATATATTTGGGAAGAATATTTTAAAAATATATTTAAAATATATTTTTCTTCCATGTGGGCATACACTATATTGCCTGCCATATTGGTCGGCCGGCCTTTCCACACACATGAACTTTAGTGCCCTCCCAGTCTTATGCCGACCATAGACGGGTTGAAAATCGGCCGATGTTTCGGCCGGAAAAAAAAATCAGGCGATTTTCACACCGTTAGTGGGTTAATTGGTCGGCTGTTTTTTTGGGCTGTTTTGCACATTTTTTTTATCGGGCACATTGGAAAAAGATTTTGATGATTGGTTGATTTTCCCGGCAATGATGGGCAAATTGGCCGATCGTTTTACCGATAAAAGATCTGGGCATGAGCCGTGACCTGCAAGAAGAAGAAAAAGAAGAAGAAGAGGAAGAAGAGGAAGAAGAATTCCAGTCCGCTATTATATTTTATATGAAAAGTCTTGCAGTTGCAACAAATGTATCTATTTGTATCCGAATAAAAACATCTGTATACGAAATGGATACAAATGGATACAAATGGATACATTGTTGCAACTGCAAGACTTTTCATATAAAATATAATAGCAGACTAGAATTCTTCCTCTTCCTTCTTTCTTCCTCTTCCTTCCTCCTTCTTCTTCCTCCTTCCTTCTTCTTCTTTCTCCTTCCTTCTTCTTCTTCCTTCCTCCTGCTTCTTATTCTTTCTTCTTCTACTTCTTCTTCTTTCTTCCTCTTTCCTCCTTCCTCTTCTTCTTCTTTCTTCTTCCTTCCTTCTTTCTCTTCTTCTTCTTCTTCTTCTTCCTCTTCTTTCTTCTTCCTTCCTCCTCCTGCTTCTTATTCTTTCTTCTTCTACTTCTTCTTCTTTCTTCCTCTTCTTTCTTCTTCCTTCCTTCTTTCTCTTCTTCCTCTTCTTCTTCTTCCTTCATCTTCTTCTTCTTCCCTGTCTCTGCAAGGGACAGAAGTATTTATGGGGTTAAATGCCGGCCACAGACGGGATGAAAATCGGCCGATTTTTTACCGTTGGTGGTAACGTCGGCCGATCGAACGACCGATTTTTTTCATTTTTTTTACAAACGACCAGTTATCAACCCGTCTATGGCCTGCATTAGTCCATAGGGTTCAATATTGAGTTGGCCCCTCCCTTTCCACGCACATGACCTTTAATGGCCCCCCAGTCTCAGTCCGTAGGGTTCAGTATTGAGTTGGCCCCGCCCTTTGCAGCTATAACAGCTTCAACTCTTCTGGGAAGGCCGTCCACAAGGTTTAGGAGGGTGTCTATGGGAAGGTTGGACCATTCTTCCAGAAGCACATTTGTCAGGTCAGGCACTGATGTCGGGGGAGGAGGCCTGGATCGCAGTCTCCGCTCTAATTCATCCCAAAGGTGTTCTATGGGGTTGAGGTCAGGACAGTCAAGTTCCTCCACCCCAAACTGGCTCCTCCATGTCTTTATGGACCTTGCTTGGTGCACTGGTGGGCAGTCATATTGGAACAGGAAGAGGCCATCCCCAAACTCTTCCCACAAAGTTGGGAGCATGAAATTGTCCAAAATGTCGCCTTAAGAGTTCCCTTCACTGGAACTAGGGGGCCAAGCCCAACCCCTGAAAAACACCCCCACACCATAATCCCCCCTCCACCAAACTTTACACTTGGCACAATGCAGTCAGGCAAGTACCGATCTCTTGGCCGCCGCCAAACCCAGACACGTCCATCAGATTGACAGACAGAGAAGAATGATTGGTCACTCCAGATAACACGTCTACTCTGCTCTAGAGTCCAGTGGCGGCGTGCTTTACACCACGGCATCTGACGGTTTGCATTGCACTTGGTGACTTGGATGCAGCTGCTCGGCCATGGAAACCCCTTCCATGAAGCTCTCTACGCACTGTTGTTGGGCTCATCTGAAGGCCACACCAAGTTTGGAGGTCTTTAGCTATTGACTCTGCAGACAGTTGGCGACTTCTGCGCACTGTGCGCTTCAGCATGCACTGACCCCGCCCTGTCATGTGACGTGGCCTACCACTTGGTGGCTGAGTGGCTGTTGTTCCCAGTTGCTTCCACTTTGTTATAATCCCACTAACAGTTGAGCGTGGAATATTTAGTAGCCAGGAAATGTCACGGATGGACTTATTGCCCAGGTGTGCCACCTATCACGGGACCACGCTTGGAGTCACTGAGCTCCTGAGAGCGACTTATTCTTTCACCAATGTTTGTAGAAGCCGTCTGCATGTCTAGGGGCTTGATTGTATACACCTGTGTCCATGGAGGGGATTGGAACACCTGAATCACATGATTGGGAGGGGATTGGAACACCTGAATCACATGATTGGGAGGGCGGAGCCATTACTTTTGGCAATATAGTGAGTGTATATATATAGTACAGTGTATACTATTGTTTGTAGATGCTCTAACTTTAAAACAAACCAATTAATATACACCAATCGTAAATCTTTTTCACCGAAGACACGGAGCAGAAGACACGGAGCAGAAGACACGGGGCAGAAGACACGGGGCAGAAGACACGGAGCAGAAGACACGGGGCAGAAGACACGGGGCAGGAGTCACGGAGCAGAAGACACGGAGCAGAAAACACAAAGCGGAACAAATGGAGCAGAAGACACAGAGCAGAAGTCACGGAGTAGAAGACACGGAGTAGAAGACATGGAGCAGAACACATGGAGCAGAAGACACGAAGCAGAACACATGGAGCAGAAGACATGGAGCAGAAGACATGGAGCAAAAGACATGGAGCAGAAGATATGGACCAGAAGACATGGAGCAGAAAACATGGAGCAGAAAACACGGAGCAGAAGACACGGAGCAGAAGACATGGAGCAGAAAACATGGAGCAGAAGACACGGAGCAGAAGACACGGAGCAGAAGACACGGAGCAGAAGACATGGAGCAGAAGACACGGGGCAGAAGACACGGGGCAGGAGTCACGGAGCAGAAGACACGGAGCAGAAAACACAGAGCAGAACAAATAGAGCAGAAGACACAGAGCAGGAGTCACGGAGCAGAAGACACGAGTAGAAGACATGGAGCAGGAGACACGGAGCAGAAGACACGGAGTAGAAGACATGGAGCAGAACACATGGAGCAGAAGACACGTAGCAGAACACATGGAGCAGAAGACATGGAGCAAAAGACACGGAGCAGAAGACACGGAGCAGAAGACATGGAGCAGAAAACATGGAGCAGAAAACATGGAGCAGAAGACATGCAGCAGAAGACACGGAGCAGAAAACACGGAGCAGAAGACATGCAGCAGAAGACACGGAACAAAAGACACGAAGCAAAAGACACGGAAAAGAAGACATGGAGCAGAAGACACGGAGCAGAAGACACGGAGCAGAAGACATGGAGCAGAAGACATGGAGCAGAAAACATGCAGCAGAAGACATGCAGCAGAAGACACGGAGCAGAAGACACGGAGCAGAAGACACGGAACAAAAGACACGGAGCAAAAGACACGGAGCAAAAGACACGGAGCAGAAGACACTGAGCAGAAGACATGGAGCAGAAGACACGGATCAGAAGTCACGGAGCAGAAGACACGGAGCAGAAGACACGGAGCAGACGACACGGAGCAGAAGACACGGAGCAGAAGACACGGAGCAGAAGACACGGAGCAGAACACATTTAGGATGAAATCTGATTTTGTTGAATATGTTTTATAACAGAAAGTAGAAAATATATTTTTTCGTTTATATCACAACCCCCCCCCCCCAGCAGTGATCAATCCCCTCCGCAAGAAAACTATTTGTGTGAAAAAAAAATGATGAAAAATTTTATTTGGGTACAGCGTTGCATGACGGCGCAATTGGCAGTTAAAGTAGAGCAGTGCTGAATAGCAAAAAAAAAAAACGACATGAAGGGGGTCAAGCGGATTTTTTCTGATCCCGGAGTTCAGCTTTCGGCAATATTTTATTCCTGCTCTATAAATACGCAGAACGCACTTTTGTATTTTTTTTTTTATTATTATTTTGCATCAGAAAAGAATTAGTTGCGATATAACGCATAGAATGTCTCCGCACGCCTGTTCTGCGGTCCCACTTCCTGCCCGGGACCATCGCTGAGACCTCAAGGATTTTGGTTGAACCGCCAGGCTGGACCACAAGCTTAGCAGGGGTCACGGAACATTCCTCCTCCTCCCGGCTGCCTCCCCCTATGCCTGTTGTGTTCAGTGTTCCAGCTTATTGCACTTGAAGCCAAAATGCGTTCCAGATGTGCCTGGCAGGAGCCTCGGTGGGGTCAGAGCCAAGTTGAGGCATTGCAGCTGACCTGTGCTGACCCCCAGGGTGTCCTATTAATGGGGGGGGGGCCGCCTCCCCCCACGCTGAGCTCAGCCTAAACTAAGCTGTCAGCTGAGAGGAGCTCAGAGGAGGCCGAAGTACCGCTCAGAGCCAGCGGGTGTCCCTAGTGGTTGGCCTAACATTCCCATCTATGGGGGGAGGTTACTTAAAAAGTTACAATGTTGCAAAGTTTCATCTTCTTCAATTAACAGAAACAAAGTATTGTCTCTGCAACACCTTTCATTGGTTACTGTTACAAATAGGGTTCCTTCTTCCAAACCTCACATCCTCTGAAACCACCGAGCAATGTATTCCCACCCTGGTTATCTCCGCCTTGACTACTGTAACTCCCTCCTCATTGGCCGACCTCATCGCAGGCTATCCCCCCTTCAGTCTATCATGAATGCTGCTGCCAGACTCATCCACTTTACTAACTGTTCTGTATCTTCCCACCCCTCTCTGCCAATCCCTCCACTGGCCTCCACTCAGTGTCCTCCACCCCTCTCTGCCAATCCCTCCACTGGCCTCCACTCAGTGTCCTCCACCCCCCTCTCTGACCTCCCGCCCCTCCACTGACCTCCACTTAGTGTCCTCCACCCCTCTCTGCCAATTCCTCCACTGACCTCCACTCAGTGTCCTCCACCCCTCTCTGCCAATCCCTCCACTGGCCTCCACTCAGTGTCCTCCTTCCCTCTCTCTGCCAATCCCTCCACTGGCCTCCACTCAGTGTCCTCCATCCCTCTCTGCCAATCCCTCCACTGACCTCCACTCAGTGTCCTCCTTCCGTCTCTGCCAATACCTCCACTGACCTCCACTTGGTTTCCTCCACCCCTCTCTGCCAATCCCTCCACTGACCTCCACTCAGTGTCCTCCTTCCCTCTCTGCCAATCCCTCCACTGACCTCCACTCGGTGTCCTCCACCCCTCTCTGCCAATCCCTCCACTGACCTCCACTCAGGGTCCTCCACCCCTCTCTGCCAATCCCTCCACTGGCTTCCACTCAGTGTCCTCCATCCCTCTCTGCCAATCCCTCCACTGACCTCCACTCAGTGTCCTCCACCCCCTCTCTGCCAATCCCTCCACTGACCTCCACTCAGTGTCCTCCACCCCTCTCTGCCAATCCCTCCACTGGCCTCCACTCAGTGTCCTTCATCCTTCTCTGCCAATCCCTCCACTGACCTCCACTCAGTGTCCTCCTTTCCTCTCTGCCAATCCCTCCACTGGCCTCCACTCAGTGTCCTCCATCCCCCTCTCTGCCAATCCAATCCCTCCACTGACCTCCACTCAGTGTCCTCCTTCCCTCTCTGCCAATCCCCTCCACTGACCTCCACTCAGTGTTTCCTCACCCCTCTCTGCCAATCCCTCCACTGACCTCCACTCAGTGTCCTCCTTCCCCTCTCTGCCAATCCCTCCACTGACCTCCACTCAGTGTCCTCCACCCCTCTCTGCCAATCCCTCCACTGGCCTCCACTCAGTGTCCTCCTTCCTCTCTGCCAATCCCTCCACTGGACCTCCACTCGGTTTCCTCCACCCCTCTCTGCCAATCCCTCCACTGACCTCCACTCAGTGTCCTCCTTCCCTCTCTGCCAATCCCTCCACTGACCTCCACTCAGTTTCCTCCACCCCTCTCTGCCAATCCCTCCACTGATCTCCACTCAGTGTCCTCCTTCCCTCTCTGCCAATCCCTCCACTGACCTCCACTCTGTGTCCTCCCCCCTCTCTGCCAATCCCTCCACTGACCTCCACTCAGTGTCCTCCACCCCTCTCTGCCAATCCCTCCACTGACCTCCACTCAGTGTCCTCCACCCCCTCTCTGCCAATCCCTCCACTGGCCTCCATTTCAGTGTCTGCCTCCTCCCCCTCTCTGCCAATCCCTCCACTGGCCTCCACTCAGTGTCCTCCATCCCTCTCTGCCAATCCCTCCACTGGCCTCCACTCAGTGTCCTCCACCCCTCTCTGCCAATCCCTCCACTGCCTCCATTCAGTGTCCTCCACCCCTCTCTGCCAATCCCTCCACTGGCCTCCACTCAGTGTCCTCCACCCCTCTCTGCCAATCCCTCCACTGACCTCCACTCAGTGTCCTCCACCCCTCTCTGCCAATCCCTCCACTGACCTCCACTCAGTGTCCTCCATCCCTCTCTTCCAATCCCTCCACTGACCTCTCCACTCAGTGTCCTCCACCCCTCTCTGCCAATCCCTCCACTGACCTCCATTCAGTGTCCTCCATCCCTCTTTGCCAATCCCTCCACTCGCCTCCACTCAGTGTCCTCCACCCCTCTCTGCCAATCCCTCCACTGGCCTCCACTCAGTGTCCTCCATCCTTCTCTGCCAATCCCTCCACTGACCTCCACTCAGTGTCCCTCCACCACTCTCTGCCAATCCCTCCACTGACATCCACTCAGTGTCCTCCATCCCTCTCTGCCAATCCCTCCACTGACCTCCACTCAGTGTCCTCCTTCCGTCTCTGCCAATCCCTCCACTGACCTCCACTCGGTTTCCTCCACCCCTCTCTGCCAATCCCTCCACTGACCTCCACTCAGTGTCCTCCTTCCCTCTCTGCCAATCCCTCCACTGACCTCCACCCCTCTCTGCCAATCCCTCCACTGACCTCCACTCAGGGTCCTCCACCCCTCTCTGCCAATCCCTCCACTGACCTCCACTCAGTGTCCTCCACCCCTCTCTGCCAATCCCTCCACTGGCCTCCACTTAGTGTCCTCCACCCCTCTCTGCCAATCCCTCCACTGGCCTCCACTCAGTGTCCTCCACCCCTCTCTGCCAATCCCTCCACTGGCCTCCACTCAGTGTCCTCCATCCCTCTCTGCCAATCCCTCCACTGGCCTCCACTCTGTGTCCTCCACCCCTCTCTGCCAATCCCTCCACTGACCTCCATTCAGTGTCCTCCATCCCTCTCTGCCAATCCCTCCACTGACCTCCACTCAGTGTCCTCCACCCCTCTCTGCCAATCCCTCCACTGACCTCCATTCAGTGTCCTCCATCCCTCTTTGCCAATCCCTCCACTCGCCTCACCTCAGTGTCCTCCATCCATCTCTGCCAATCCCTCCACTGACCTCCACTCATGTCCTCCACCCCTCTCTGCCAATCCCTCCACTGACCTTCACTCAGTGTCCTCCACCACTCTCTGCCAATCCCTCCACTGACATCCACTCAGTGTCCTCCACCCCTCTCTGCTAATCCCTCCACTGACCTCCACTCAGTGTCCTCCACCCCTCTCTGCCAATCCCTCCACTGACCTCCACTCAGTGTCCTCCATCCCTCTCTGCCAAACCCTCCACTGGCCTCCACTCAGTGTCCTCCATCCCTCTCTGCCAATCCCTCCACTGGCCTCCACTCAGTGTCCTCCATCCCTCTCTGCCAATCCCTCCACTGGCTTCCCATTGCCCAACGAATATAAAGCCATTTATAACTCCGCCCCCAAATTGCATCACCAATCTTGTCTCCAAATATCACCCAAACTGTCCTCTCCGCTCCTCACACGACCTCCTGCTCTCTAGCTCCCTTGTCTCCTCCTCCCATACTTGTCTCCAGGACTTCCCCAGAGCTTCCCCCATCCTCTGGAACTCTCTATCCCAATCTATTAGACTATCGCCTACTCTGCTCACTTTTAGGCGATCTCTGAAACCTATCTCTTCAGGGAAGCCTATCCTGCCCTCAGCTAATAATGGAATCTTCTACTCCTCCCACCAGTCCACCCCCCACAGTTACTACCTTTTGTACAAACAGCCCCTCCCTCCTAGATTGTAAGCTCCCAGGATCAGGCCCTCCTAACCCTCTTGTATTGAACTGTATTGTTGCTGTATTGTCTCCCATTATATTGTAAAGAGCTGAGCAAACTGTTGGCGCCATATAAATCCTGTATAATAATAATAATAATAGGATCATATGTTATATACAGTCATGGCCAAATATCTTGTGCCCCCCCCCCCCGCATTTCACTCCCTCATTATCTCACGTCTGGACTACTGCAACTCCCTCCTCACCGGCCTACCTCATCGCAGACTATCACGCTTCAGTCTATCCTGAACTCAGCGGCCAGACTCATCCACCTTACCAACCGCTCCTCTTCTGCCACCCCCCCCTGTCATTCCCTCCACTGGCTCCACCCCCCTCTGTCATTCCCTACACTGGGCTCCACCCCCCCTCTGTCATTCCCTCCACTGGCTCCCGATTGCCCAACACATAAAATTCAAACTACTAACACAGACATACAAAGCCATTCATAACGCTGCCCCAAACTACCTCACCGACCTGATACCCAACCCGTACTCTTTGTTCCTCACAAGACCTCCTACTTTCTAGCTCCCTGGTCTCCACCTCCCACACCCAACTGTAGGACTTCACCAGGACTTCCCCCATCCTCTGGAACTCTCTTCCCCAATCCATCAGACTGTCACCTACCCTCCTCACCTTTAGGCGCACCCTGAAAACCCTCCTCTTCAGGGAAGCCTACCCCACCCTCACCTAACAGCCGATCTCCTCCACTCCTCCTACCACTCCATCCCCCACAGCCACTTCCTCCTGTACCACTATCCCCTCCCTCCTAGATTGTAAGCTCGAAAAAGCAGGGCCCTTGACCCCCTTGTGTATTGTTTTGTTACTGTATTGTCTCGTGTTCTGTCCCCCACTATAATGTACAGCGCTGAGCAAACCTTTCTGGCGCTATATAAATACTGTAATAATCAATAATAATAATAATAATAATGATAAGGCTTTCCTGTTAGTATTGCTACAGTGAAGGAAATGTGTATTTGCTCCCCTGCTGATTTTGAATGTTCACCCTCACAAAGAAATGATCGGTCTACAAATCGAATGTTCGGTGTATTGTAACACTGAGAGACAGAATAGCAACAAAAATTTCAGCAGAAATGCGTCTAACAAATGATGACTGATTTGCATGTTTATGAGGGAAATAAGGATTTGATCCCCTATCATTCAGCAGGATTTCTGGCTACCAGGAGTCTTTCATACAGGTAACAAGCTGAGATTAGAAGCAGTCTCTTAAAGGGAGTCAGCAGGGGATCAAATACTTATTTCCTTCACTGTATGTACTTATATAACTCACCTGCAGCGGGTAAAAGCGACAGATCCACCACGGCAGCAGCCTCTGCGTTTCACCCCATTATGTCCTGGAATTAGAATGATGGATCTGGTGCTGGGTGGGCCCCCTTCCAGCGGGATGATGCACCTTGGAATCATTTACTACAAAGCAGGACAGTTCCTATTACATGGAGAGTTCGGCTCCACAGACAGAGGAGTACAGGGGTATGACATACATAGGACGATCGTATTTCAGGTCCGAGGATCACGTATAATTCACTTATAATGGGTTTCGCACATGACAGGACTGACAAATGCACTTTTATATGGATGGGACTCTACCGCCCATTTTTGTCAGACATTTAGCCCGGGTTTGCATATGTGCGGTGCGGTATATCGCATGTAATTTGCACAGGAATGCAATCGGATGCGATTTGTGTGCAGTGAGATTGGAGCCGTACATGTTGTATGGCTCTATTCCCACCACACCCACACCAAAAATGTGCAGGACCCTTTTTTGGGTCCACACTAGAATCGGATCGCATAGGTATTCACACCTATGCGATCCGATTCTGCACATCACAGCGCGTTTTGCGGACCGATTTCGGGGTGTTGCTAACTTAACATACACACCCGCATCGGTTCGCATGAACGGGGTGCGATCCTGATGCGGTGCAAAATTCGCACTGAAAACGCTGCAAATTCCATACCGCGTCAGTGTGAACCAGGGCTTAAAGTGCATCCCGAGGCAGGTGCGGGGGTGCGGTCCACACCGGGTGACACTGACCGCACGGGGTGACACCGGACCTGCTCCACAAAAAGGTAAGTTGTAAAGAAAGCCGACGACCCCGCAGGATGGATCGGATATGCGGATTGAGCATAGTGGATCGGAGTCTGATCCATTATGCTCAATCCACAGATCTGATCCATTCTGCAGGGATCATCGGAGGGGGTGTCACCAAGTGTTACCGCACCAGGTGACACCAACCTTAGGGACGCCTCTGAGTGCATGTACTTTTTTTGTAGTTTTGGATAGAGTAGGGAATGGGTAAAGTGTATCAAAACCCAAGAACAAAAAATGATAGTATTACAGCTTACCGGTCATTAGCTGTGGTGGCTGCATTTGTTTTCCTTTTTTTCACACTTTTTTTCATTTTATTTTCAACTGGTGATCCTGCCATGAACTCGCTTACTGTTCTAGGGTGACAACCGTAATGAGCAGTGTTGTCCCCCCAAGACAGGGAGTTAGGACTAGATAGTAGGGTGACAATGCGAAATGATAACAGTGCACCGCTGAATTCCCCCCCTATATTATCTTTACACATTTACTTCTTTACTACATAATTTTGCGACCGCGTTGTATTTTTGTTTTTATATTTTAGATGTCTGATTTGTTTTCTTAGAAATCAAAATTCAGATGAAATTTTCATTATTTGGAGATTCGAATCGGATGTATCCGACTAGTGACGAATTTCAACAAATCCAAAATAAAGTATAATGAAACAAATTATCTAAATTCAAAAATAAATTTGAATTAGGAAACTAATTAAAATTCTAAAAGGAAACATATTGCAAAAAATACAGTAAGGTATGAAAGTGCAATAAGATCATGATCTCTACTTTCGATTGCCTCTCGGGGGATCAGTAAGGAGTTTTTTTTTTCCTTGCAGGAGCAAATTGCAACGTGCTTTCCGTTTTTTTTTTTTTTTTTGCTTTCTTCTGGATCAACTGTGGGTATAGGAGTATAACTTTTCTTTTTTTCAATGGTTGAACTGGATGGACTTTTGTCTTTTTTTCAGCCAGACTAACTATGTAACTATGTAACTTAGGCTGCTTTATATAATAAAATAGAATAAGAAGAGAACAGAGAATAAAAAACTAGAATAGAAAATAGTAGAATTGAACAGAAGATAATAGAATAGAATAAAACAGAATATATTACTATAGAATGGAAAATAAAAGTATAGAATAGAACAGAATAGTAAAGAATATATAAAACAAAAAAGAAAATAAAGGAATAGAATATAATCGTCGTATCAATACCATTAGAGAACGCAAGGTATTAGCTTATTACAGACTTCACAGTCCTATGTCATAAAGTGTTCCATTTCTTGTCATACAAAAAGTGGTTTGCATGCTTCAATGCCCATGTGGGCTTCAATATGTGGGCCGGACCACAAGGGAGCTACATGCACGGCTAGAGGAACACATAGGTAACATAAGACATGGATTCCATAGACACAGTGGGGTTTATTTACTAAAGCTGGAGAGTCCAAAATCAGACTCCCTTCTGCATAGAAACCAATCAGCTTCTAACCTCAGCATCGTTCAATGAAGCTTTGGCAATGAAACCTGGAAGCTGATTGGTTTCTATGCAGAAGGGAGTCTGATTTTGGACTCTCCAGCTTTAGTAAATAAACCCCAGTGTATCCAAATATGTCCAGTGTCACAATAGGAATCCTGCTGGAACAATGTTTCTGGCAATTGATAAACATAATCCTCACTGGAGAGGTATGAACGCCTGTAGAAAAATTTTGCATTTTGAGACCAGATGGATATTTGATCTTAAATGCTTCACTCCATTTGGTCTCAATATTGAGTGGAACATAAATTGTTTAATCAACAGCAGTTGAGACGTTTTGTGTCTGAAATATGTCCTCATCTTTTGAATATAATCCCACCCCCCTTTTTTTAACATTCCTATATAATGTCAGTTTTTTTTTTTGTTGCTTGTCCCCTTTCCTTTGGCTTCTTAATCAGTATGTGTCAGTTAAACTCAGGGGCTTCCACGTTTTTTTTTACAATAATAAATAATTTTTTTATATTTTAATTATTTTATTTTGTTTATGTGCACAAGAATGAGTGGAGACCACATTTCTTGTGTTTTTTTTTTTTACGGAGTAGT